ACTTTCAGATCTTAACCCTATAGCCACCTGACACACCTTCTGACTTTTTGGAAGGACAACCTCCTTCCTTCCCTCTCACTGGCCTCCCCCTCTGGCTGCTATGAAGAGGTTTAATCAGCACTTCCACTCCCTGGCCTTCCCTGAAGATTTTCTTTGTAAATGAGTATCTAATACTCCCACCCTCCCTTGTACAGCAATAATAGCACAGGTTAAAATACTATAGAACTAGTAATGTTATTAATTTTACTGCTGTCTATCAGTAAAATAATTAGAGACCCATCAGTATTAATCTGAAGCTGTAGGGTGCAGGGGGGAAAACAAGCATTAGCAAAATAATTAGAGACCCATCAGTATTAATCTGAAGCTGTAGGGTGCAGGGGGGAAAACAAGCATTAGCAAAAAGGCCTGGATCAGTCTGTCAGCAGAATCAGTAAGGAGGAAAAACACCTCACAGTGAGTAGTTAAAAATCAAACAATATATTATTTCATACAGTTAGAAATAAACCAATACAATAAAAAAACATTTCCCCTAGAATAAACAGTGAATTTTTCATGTTCCACCATGAACTTCCCATACTTTTGGCACAAAATTTGTTCATAAGACTTTTGTAATCTAAAAAGTAACAAGGAAAAACTCCTGAGCTTGCAAAGTGAACTGATAAGAACTTCACAAACGCTGTGTTTTCCTTTGAGGTTTACCAAGAATGCACATGTCATATGTATGCATTAGGATTTGGTGCACAGGAGTGGTGGCAGGAAAGAGCTACTGAAGCCTTGCCTCAGGCAGCAGCAGCACTGGTTGGCAAGCTACCTCTGCAGAAGTAAAATAGTCTAACTACCCAAGAAGCCAGTTCAAGAACATTATGCATATCATGATATTAGTTTGGAGACTAGGAGGATAAAAAGCAGCAGATAAAAGAAGTGTTTGTCACAGCAGAACAGGGAACCATTTAGATCTCTGTATGAAAAACTGTGGAAGAGTTTCCTTATTTAGCTTCCATGTAGTTATCTTAATCAACAGTTACCCTTCTAAAGCAGAGAATAAAGTAATGCCATAGAAAAAAAAAATGAAACCACATTCAAAAGTTTATTTCCTTTCACTTCACTAATGTGTGATAAGTGCAAAGAAGTTATTCAAATTTTCCAAGCAGATAGATTTTCTTACTAATTTCACCATTCATAACACCAGACTGACTGAATAATCTCTTTCACCACAAAACTCAGCCCATGACAAGAGACAGTGGTGTAAGACTGTTCATGTCCAAAACATGCACATGCATGAACACTGTTAGTGTGTCTGTTCAATAAAGAAAGCTGTGGATAAAGCAGACAGGTTGCTTCCCAGTACTAATAGATCACAGATGCTCCCAGAACAACTGACAACACAAACCCAAACTAAAATCCCCCAGACTCCAAACTCAAAATACAGTATTTAAATTCTCAGGCAAAAGAAAACAGAGCTGAAAAATCTGAAAAAAATCACTGCCAAACAGATCAGCACAAAAATCTAAATATTAATTTCTCACAAGAGAAACACTAAAATCTCTTAATTAGACATTCCCCTGTCTAATTAACGCCTATTCAGAAAATTCACATTTATAAATCTTGTCTTCAGTAGAGAGCATGCTAATACACACACACTACACAGTCCTCTTCAGGGACTGAGCCCCTCACCAATACTGCTGGGGCCTCATCACCAGCAGAGTCCAGCACCTGCTCACGGCTGAAGAACCTCTGCTTTACACAGATCCTTCTGGACACGACCAACACCCTATGGAGCCCCCCAGCAGCTCCTGCTCCACCCTGCACCTCTAACACCCCACCCTCAGGATCTCTGAACAAAGCACACACCAAACACCCCCCCAGCACAGCCACTACCTCATAACACACATCTCCTAGCCCAGTCATTTTCCACCTATCTACATCTTTCTCAATAGATATTGCTCCTGCATTCCCCTACAGTGCCTGAAAACAGACATGCAAGGCAAAGGATGTCTTATATGACAGAAGTTATAAACAGAAATGTCAGAACTGTACTCAAACTATAGACCACAGTCCTTCTCTAAGGTGATACATGCAAAAAAAACCTGTGTAAGAACATAAAGAATATCAACAGATCCTAACCTTTGCCTTTAGTTGGTTTCTTGGTGGGTGTGTCAGCTGAAACACTTATTTCAATATTATCTGGATCACCTCCTTCCTCTTCAATAGCCTAAATGAGACAAAAAAATACAATTTTTAATGGCTTTCAGTGGAAAGCTGGACAGTTTGACTTCAGCAGAAGTCTGTAAGCCGAACAGTTCTTTCGGCATCTCAAAAATATTTGGTAAAACACTTTGGGTTAAAGCTTTCACTTACAGCTGGAGAAGAGCAAGGGAACACAAATAATAACGGCTGAGAGTTTCAGCTGTTAAAATGACACTTTGGAAGTACAGCTTATCAAGGATCCACATGTTTCGCTTTGGAAACGGAGCACTAGAAGGCCACAACGACATCCATAATGGCATTAAGGGCAGCTCAAAAGCAGGACAGCGGGAAGCACAGACACCCCTCAGCAACAACCTGCCCGGGGGCTCGCCCGACGAACTCCGGCGCCCGTGCAGGCGGGCGGGCCGCAAGGCCGCGGGGCGAGCTCCGCCAGCCGGGACACCGCGCCCAGCGCGGCCCAGAGGGGCCACACAGAGCCGGGGGCTCGGCGAGGCTGACCCTCGCCCGGTCACCCGCGGCAACGCGAGGACAGGTCCCGCCCCCCCACACCGGGACAGCGGCAGGGCCGCCAGCGCCCCGCCCCCGGAGCCGGGCTGCAGCAGCGGCCGCCGGGGCGGGCCGGGCCGGGCCTGCACCCGCCGCTCACCTGCTTGAGCCGGGCGATGAGCACCGTCTTCACGCCGGTGATGTCCAGGTTGCGCCGCTTCAGCTCCGACTTGAGGTCGATGACGCGCAGGTCGCTGATCCTCTTGCTCTCGGTGGGCGGCGCAGCGGGTGCGGCGGGAGCCGCAGGAGCCCCCGCGGCAGCGGCGGCGGGAGCGGAGGCGGCGGCGGCCATTTTAGAGCGGGCGAGCGAGCGCGGCGGCCGCGCGCACAATGAGCGCGGTGCCCGGATGGAACGCGGCCGGCGCCCGGCACTGCGCAGGCGCGGAGCGGCGCACCTGGCCCGGAGCGCCCGCCCCGGCTGGGGCCCGCCCTGCGCGTGAGGGGAGCGAGCGGCGCCGCGTCCCGGCAGCGCCGGTGGGCGGGGAAGATCCCTGGGGCTGGGCAGGGCAGCGGGGTTGGGGAAGGGTCTGGAGCGCCTGTCCTGTGAGGAGCAGCTGGGGGAGCTGGGGAGCTCAGCCTGGAGAAGAGGAGGCTCAGGGGTGACCTTATCAGGGGGTCGGTCTCTTCTCATGGGGAACAGAGACAGGACGTGAGGACGTGGCCTCAAGCTGCACCAGGGGAGGTTTAGGTTTGACATTAGGAAGATTTTTTTTTTCATAGAAAAGGTGATTAGATATTGGAACGGGTTGCCCAGGGAGGTGGTGAAATCAGTGTCCTTGAGTTTAAGGAGACTGGACGTGGCATTTGGTGCCGCAGTCCAGCTGACATTGTTTTCAGCCATCGGATCCGATGATCTCAGAGGTCTTTTCCAACCTAACTACGTTTGTGATTCTTGGGTGTTCTGGCCACTGACTTGTCAGAGTTTAAGAAATGACCAACTGATTTGTTTGTGTATCTGTTTGTTATTGGAAGTATTTCAGAAGTACAATACTAATATAACAATAATGACATATATGTAGGTAAGTATGTAAATATATATATATATATGTATAATATATATATGTATAGTATATATATGTAATTAATAATACTAATGTTTTGAATTTTACCAAAATACCTCTTCTTATTATTTATTAGGCTGTACTTTTACCAGGTAATGGAAGATGTTACTTTTTAGTTCCATTCATTTTCTGTAGGGAACGCCTGAAATTATTTTGTCAACAACATATGTTAAGCTCCTACTAAACCTTCAAATGAGGCAGAATTTAAGTACCTATAAATTGAAGCTACAACAGTCCTCCTGTCTCTTCATTCAGAAATTACATATAGCTAAAAATGAAAAAAAAATGAATGCTTGTTTTATTCAACAAATCTTTGTTAAACAACCTTTTGTGCAAATTAAGTTCTGAATCCTAAAAGATTTGTTACACCATTCTCTTCTTTTCAAAGTGCACTTGGAAGTGCATTTCAAAATTATCTGAAGTAATACTTTAAGTAGTTATCAGTTAACATAAGGTAAAATCTATGTGGTTAGAAGGCAGACATACACAGAAGTCTTATAGCACACTTTGGACTGGTAATTGCATGCATGGCTTAGCTATGTTATGCTGCTGCTGCAGTTGATACCAAGATTTTAATAAAAAGAACAATCTTAAATAAGAATATATATTTTTGATTACACTGTCTTTTGTGACATTTGTATTAACATCAAATATAATAGGATTGACTTTGAGGTTAATAGATAAGCGCTAGCTGAACTTTAGACTATAGAAACATTTTTGAGTGTATGGAAAAAGACCTGTTTTATTTTCACATAACCTTGAATTCAGCAGTGCAGCAAAATTTTAATCAGGGCTGTCAGGTTTAGTGTTGTAAACTGTGCAAATACACCCAAAACCCACTGTGTGGGTTCCTGTATTAGTGAGGGTGAGTTTTGTGTGTCTCATTTCTGGAAAGAAGATGAGAGGAATAACAAAGACAGCACTTGCACTGGTTGTTAGGGATTTCTTGAAACACCTAAATGTCAGTGCTTGTTGTTTGAGGTCATGTAGATGTTAAAGCTTTACACTGTACATGTCCCCTCCCCAAATAAAAAGCAACCAAGAGAGCCAAAAGTGACCTTACCTGGATTCTCAGTCATCCTCCTGCCCCAAGGCACAATAAACTATTATGAAAACAACCTCAAAGGATGTTTGCATAACCTGTTCTTAAAGCCATAAACACAGATTCCACTCATTCCTCAGGCAGTCTAGTCTAGTCCTTAACTCTCTTTTTTGAATGTCTGGATTAAATACCTTTTGCTGCAGTTTAGCTGATACATTCCAATTGAACATAGACAACGTTCCCTTTCTTTTTGCAGCAGTCCTTTACACAAATTAAGACAGTTTCCATATTTTTGTTCAGTCTCTCTTTTGGGTTGGTTTTTTATTAAAAGCACAGATATTTTATTTTCTTTTAATCAGTTCTGAAACACACGACTTTTTGTTGTTGTACCCTTCTAGCTCCCACCCTATCTTTTCACAACTTCACAAAGTTACCTTGGTGGCAACTCTTCTGATTATGCATCTCAGCAGAGTGGATGCCTTTTCCAACCTCATGAAATTGATGTGTTCTGCTTACGATCCACTCTGCCTACTGGTTTCTTTTCTGCAAGTTTATTACTGCAATTACTCTGTGCAGTTGATTTCTTGCTAAGTGCAGCACTGCTCTCATGTTTATAGAATCATCATCCCCCTGTTGCAATGATTTCAACCTCTACTTTTGCTTCTCCTCCTTGCAGCACCTCCCAGCTGGGTGGCAGCTCCAGGCTTGTGGTCTCTAGGCCTTTCTGCAAAGAGATAACAATATAGAACTGTACACGGAATTTTGTTTGATGTAAATTTAGTATTTGTGCAATTTGATATTAAACTGTTAACAGCAATCCTTGAAGTACAACCAGTTTTACATAAATTGGTGGGTTTTCTATCCAGATTAAATTTCCATATCTTTCTTATGAAAATGTCAATGAAACAGAAGTCTTGCTGAAGTGATCTTCAATTTATTTATGTCTGTAGAACGAGACATTAAAAACTAGGTTGGTTTGATAGACTGTCATGAACAAATCATATTGGTTGTTATTTATAATTTTGTTATTTTTCAGGTATATACAAATATTTTTTAATCCATCCAGGAATTTTAATCAAATTGACTGGATTCTAATTTCCTGTTTGTTTGATTGTTGTGTTGTTTGGTTTTTTTCCCTAAAGAAAAACACTCAGTTCTTTACGAGTCTCTTGAAACGTCTTCTAGTTTTCAAAATAAATGCTGTTTTCTACCATTAGGTTCTGAAATTTGTGGAAAGGTTTGATTAGGAGATGGTAATTGACTTCCAAAGATGAGAAATATTTGGCCCAGGTATTAGTATTTAAACAAGTACAGACCTGTGCTCCTGTAAATTTTTTTTTGTCTACTTTTTATGTGAGGCAGCTGGAAGCTATGAATGTCCCTAGATTTGTCACATTTTCCCCTGGGCTTTCTACTTTTGCGAGTTTTTTCTGTGTAGATTATCCCAGTTCCAACTTCACTGCCCAGTCTATTCCCAACCTGACACTGAAGCACAATGCAGGAGCAAACACCAGCTTTCTCATCTCTTTAATGGTTTCATGCAGTTGGTACCTGAATTTTTAAATTAATTAAAACTGTAGTTTTAATTAAACTGGGCTCTGTAAAAATAAAGGGTTATTCAGTGTTTTTAAACATAGAGAAATAGTTCTTGCCTCTTTTTTGTAAGGAAGCCTGGCTAGAGCATTCAACTAGAATCAACAGGCTGTCCCAGTTTCCTCCTCTTCACACAGCCACCCATTTGTCCATATCCCCTTCTAAAAAAAAGAGATTTTGGTTTGGGAAAAGGGGAGGGGTTTGGGGTGCTGGAAGGTCACCTCTAAATACAGTCTCTACAGTTAAACAGAACCCTGTCCACTTGGAGCACATTTCTCTTTTTTTTTTCTTTTATTGCAAAGATCTATGTACTTCTCTGCTTAACGTATTATTCCTTTAAAAACTGACTTTTGCAGTCTGTGTTTTCATTCTTTAGTTAACAACAACTCTAACAAACTTTTGTTTGTTTGCTTCCTAAACCCAAGTTTCTAGTACAGATTTTTGGATCTACTTTGGGGGCTGACTACATGAAAGCTAGTTATAACAGGCATATATGATGCAGTGACTCAGTTCCTTTCTCAGTCTAACCCTTTTAAAAAGAGTGAGGCTGGGCTGATGCTGGATTAACTGAAGTAAGAATCCTTTTTACTTTGAAAGACAGTGAATCTTGCCCCAGTTCTCATGTTACATTATCTGGTTGCTACAATTTTAAACTGCACTATTTCTCTCAACTAGACAGAGCAAGAGTAGCTATGTGAGACATTTCAGTGAATGCCTGACAATAGATACACTTTGAGATAAAAATCACAGATAATTTAATATGTATCACTGCTATAAAAAAATCACTTTTTCCACTCTGAATGTATAGTTCTCTTTTTGATGTATTATTGATGTACTGCATTATGAGCAGTCAAAGGAGGTTGTAAAAATGAATTTCTGATCTCTCAATTGCTCTCCTTATAATTCTTCTACAGAACAGCAAGGAAAAGAACATAAATCCAATTGTAAATCAAACACAAATATTATCCTATATTTTACCACTGAAACTATATATACATGCTATGAAATGGCTATTGAATTTCTTAGTGTAAAGACAGATCATTAAATGCAGGATGCTTTTGCTTGTTTTAAACCTAATTGCTCTAAAAATAGCCACTGATGCATCATTAAGACACAAAAATATATTTGGCCCCATTATTGTACAAGCACTGAAAGAATAAATAGGAATATCTCGTGATCTTCTACTAAGAGCTTGGTGACATACTTGTTTCTGAATAAGAAAAAGAACTATTAAAAATACCATCAACAAACTAGCTATTTCCAAGTAATTATATACACCACACCTTCTTAATTATATGGCAACTTAAATACTTAAGCTGTCAGATAATCTCAGAAAGATACTGTGAGACCTTAGTAAGGATTTGCATAATTTCTGAAGTCATGTGTTGTAAAAGTGCTGTTTCTAACCTTCGAGAGCTTCATTAGGCTGTACAACATGAAATCAAATGACTGGTGGGTCGTTTCTACATTAACATTATACTGTAATGCAGGGTATTTTGTGTTTCCATGTATCTTAAAAATATGAATTACCTGAGTGGTGCATGTTATTTTCCAGAACTTTTGAAAGCTCTTTTGTCAATCACGTTTAAAAAATTCCATCAGAAAATGTATAGCACAGACAACCATCAAATTTTATTTTTGATTCTGCAAATGATCATTCTTTTCTTGTTTCCTAGTAGCAATTTTTCATAATATAAATCTTTCAGGATTTTTTATCTCTTCTCTACTTCTCCCATTTTCACTGATAAGATCTTCATCTGGGCTGACTGGAGCTGTGACTGTTTATCATCCAAGTATCAATCCCAAAGATTTTGTGATCTAACACAGAAATGTTTCTGTATTATCTGGTTTTCTGTATCATCCTCACAATATATTACAAGGGGCTTTACATTTTATTGATATTACTAATAATTGTAAGTTGACTTAGCTCATGCATTTAAATATATGCTTAAGTAATGGTCCATGTGAAATCTACAGGAAGGTACCTCTGATGTAAATGCCAAGGATGTCCTGATGAACAGCCTGCCTGCAAGAGACAGCTCCCCGCCAGCAGTGTGCGTGTGACAGATCCACACTCGCGTCTGCGGGCGGGAGTTTTAGAGGTGGGCACTTCCCACACTGTCCTGGCCACTACCAGGCTTCAGCCAGCAGGGCTCAGAGCAGATCCAGGACTCTCTGTGAGAGTGGGAAGCTCGGCTCTTGGCCCTGTGCCCAGTGGGGCTGTGGCACTGTGTTCCAGAAGCTGGTGCTCACCTCTGGAAAAAACTGTGCCAGCAAACTGCTACAGCAGCCCTGCACAGAGCCGTGTCCAGCCAGGAAGCCAAGCTGCTGAAGGAACCTCAGGGTAAGGAGGATAAGGGGTTACTTTTTTTTGTCTTTTTGCCAAAAATGTGAAGTGCAATCTCCTGCTGGCTGGCAAGTTTTGATCTTGGATAAGATCATTTCTTCTCCATGTCTTTAGTTCTGCCAGGCCCTGGGGTGTGCATATAAATGGTTTCGTTCAGCTGTAGTTAGGAGAAGTTGAAGAGTTCATCATGAACTGATGACACTATAGCCTGAAAGCCATTCTGAAATTTGCATTAGTGATTTAGAATTATTCCAGTTAATCTTTTGGTTTTCTATACCTACGAAGTGTGAGAAGGAGAATGTTTTGGTTTGTTCCAAGGAATCAATAATCTATTTTCAAGACATCTGTCTTTGCAAGATACTAAGATAATGGCAGAAATCACTTGAAATCACATGAAAGGGCACAGATAGAAACTTGGGTTTTTTAAAATAGTGAATAATTCTGGCCACTGAGGTATTTTCTACATCACTTTTCTTTAAAACTTAGGCGAATAATCAGTCAATAACAGACAAACTAATTTTTATCAAAAGTTTGTTTAAGGGTGACTGGCCCACAAATTACCATATTCCTGTCAGCTGGTGGTCCATATTGAAATAGGTATTAGGAAATATTAGCCAATAAAGATCCTAGAAAATCTGCCTTTCTGTTAAAGAAAGGTCTACAGAATCATACACTACAGAATCATACACAAGTAGAACATTTACAGATCATTTGGCCACTTTGACACTGCACTGGGAGAGAATCAAGACTGACTGCATTTGCTTTTTAATTTGTGAACTGAAAATTATAGCCACTTGTTTTTGTTTTTTGAAATGATCTTTTGTACATCTTTCAGCTGGCAAGCAGAAAGTGACTCTGTACATTTTTTCCACCAACAACTACCTTTCTGTCACATTTGTCACGAGTGTTCAAACCAATTATTACGTAAATAGGTAAACACGTAACTAGTTGGTGTGGTTTTTTATAGGTATTAGTCTCTGATCAGCTTATTCACAATGCTCCTCTGTCTCATTTCTTAAAGTAATCCAGCCAAATTTTATTTTATTAGCTTCCTCTCATATTATCTATACTGTGTTTTCTTGAGTGTCCCACTAAGGTTAGAGTTCATCTTCCTTGGATGCATATTAAAAAAAAAGCTGCATAAAGTAGTTGCAAGACTACATCACGAATAATTTTTGCAATAGCACTGAAAACTTTCTGAGAAAATTGTTTAGACTAAATTATTATACAGACATGTTTGCTTTTTCATGTCTACATCATGTTGTTGACTGATGGTCATTTACTTAATTACAATGATAATTGAAGTTCACATCCAACTGCCTTTTACCTGAGAAAGACCCAAAACTTTTGGTCATTAACATTCAAGTGCACAATCTTTGTATTTGATGTTTTTTCACTTTGCTTCTCTTAGTTCTCAGGGTCGTTCACTTCTTCCCATATATTGTCTTGATTGTTTTTTTCCCCAGCTGATTTTTAGTAAAGTATTCCAACTTTGGATCTAGTGCTTAATGGGAAATATTAAAATTGCTTACACAGACAAGCCATTAGTGACCTCCATTGAATGATATGACTTTCTTCCCACTGTCTGTTACAGTTTTCACATTCTCCCCAGTTTCACTGGTTATTTCACCTGTGGCTCAGGTGTCTGAGCCTGTCTTTATTTACTGAGATTAGCTGGATGAGACATGACTTAAAAAAAGAAAACTACCCAACACCAGAATAAATATGTAGAGAAAGGTAACAAGTTAATGCTGGATAACCAGTGTTATTGTCTTTATTGCAAACTGAAATGAATGATTGCTTTGCTCATGGAACCACATGAAATAACCTGTGATCCTTTTTCCCACCTTCATTCTATGTGGGTCTGACTTCTTCCTGTGTTCTCATTTGACACATAAAGCTTTATTTTCATATCATTTATATGCTATAGCACTTTTTGCATTTTGTACACTTGTGGATGTATTGAAGTAGAGTCTAATTTCCATGTTGTTTTATCCACTTTTGCTTTAAGGAAATTCCATTCAGAAACTCATGCAATTAATAGTGTCAACATGCGTTTTTCCCCAGTGACCATTTCTTTTGTAATGATGCACACAGGTTGTTTAGCTCCTCTAAACCACGTAGGAACTGCTGTGTACCGATGACTCCGTGCTGCAGTGTGTTCTGAGTAAGATCTTTCTTTAACTATTGGTAGACCAGACTGTACCTTTCTGCTCCAAAGCCTCAGGTTTATGTAGCTGTTGGTCACAGAGTATATCACCCTTGTCTATCCAGTGTTTCAGTCTGGAGCTGGAATGTGTACCCTGACACTGATGAAACGTCACCTCTGGCAGAGAGATATCCTGGCCTTTGGCAGTTGCAAAGTCAACAAACACTCAGACTTGCTGCTGTATGAGAGCCTTCCCAAAGCTATGGTGCTTGCTGTGCTGTCCCTGGGACATATGGCCACTGTATGGGACATACAGTACATGATGTACATACATTCCTTATCGTTTGTGTGTACATCAGTAATGTAGAGGGGAAAGGCACACCTCATCCCGAGTCAGTGACTGCATTGTGCAGTAAAGGCAAATAACTTCCTACCTCTAAAGAGCTGGGATGGAGAGTTGGGATTTGTTGGCCTTTCTTCGCAGCCGCACCTGTCACTGGCTCCAGGAGAGGCAGCCGTGAGACACTGCGGTGTCAAGGAAGAAACCCGATGTTTTTATACAAGTCCTAGAAAGGAACATCACAGAAAGAGTCAGGTTGGAGGGGACCACGGTGGGTCCCCCTCTGGTCCGACCTCCCTGCTCAAGCCGGGTCATCCCAGAGGACACGGTAAGGATTGCGCCCAGTTCTCGGATACCTGGGCAGCCCGATCCAGTGCTCGCTCATTGCACAGTGAAGTTCTTAGATCGTGTGGAACTTTCTGTGCATCAGTTTCTGCCTGTTGCCTTGAGTCCTATTGCTCGGCACCACCGAGCAGAGCCTGGTCCATGTTCTGACGCCCTCGCTTTAGGTATTTACACACGACCGCGTAAACGCAGCAGCAGCTAAGGCAGCCAGGGCCGCCCCGACCCCATCCCGTCCCCTCAGGAGCCCGCGCTGTGGCGGCGCCATGGTCCGGCAGGGGGCGCGGCGGGAGGCGGGGCGCGCGCCGGCGCGGCTGCGCTTTGCGGGCGGCTGTAAAGCAGCGCCGACTGTCGCGCTGCGCTGGGCAGGGAGCGGCGGGGGCTGCGCCACAACAGAGCTGGGGCCCGCCCGGCGCAGCGGCTGCACCGGGACCGCACCGGGGGCAGCGGCTGCACCGGCACAGTGAGGACGCGGCGGCCTCTCGAGCCGCGCCGGGCAGCGCCGCGGGGTCACTGCGGCGTCCACCGGGGCTGCTCCTACCCCTCGGCCCTGCGCAGGGCGCCGGCGGCACCCGCCCCTTCCCCCGCGGCCTCGCTGTCTCAGGTATGGGGGGCGGCGGGGACCCCGCGGGTGGGGCCGGGGGCTCTCTCGCTTCCCCCGCCCTGAGCCCTGACGGCAGCGGTGACCGGCGGGGCTGTGCGGCGGGTGGGAACTTCACGCAGAATGTATTTTTCCTTTTTTATTCAGCGCCTCGTTGACGCACAAAGCAGTGTCTTCACTGCGGGCAGCCGCAGCACTCTCTGGGGTTTATGTCACAAATTTGTCACAATTTTTTCCCTTAGGGAAATGAGTTTCTATTTCTGTGCGTAATAGGGTTTGTTATGACGTCATTTGTTTTGTTTGCGAAGTTCGTGTTCTCTTAACCCATGTTAAAAAAAATAACCATTTTCAGCTGTTTTTTGCCTGACAAACAAGGAAGTAATGTTCATTCAGAAATGTAGGCCAGGATCTTCAGAGATATGAAGGCTTGTCACTGTTTCAATGGGCAGCTGTTAAGAGTATGTACTTTTAGGGGTCTGTGTTTCTGTGATTAGGACTGAACATGTGTTCATGGAATGTTCACGCTGTTTGGGTAAGCTCTTCTATGGCTTTAATTGATTTTGTTAAATTATAAGCAAGGCCTGGTTGCTTTAGCTGACCAAATGAGACCCTTAATTCCTGATAGCCAAGTACTTCTGCAGAAGAGGACATAATGTAGGAGGTAAGATTTTGCTGTAATTAGAATCATTTGGTTTGAGTGCAGTTATTTAAGAACAGAGATTTGACCAAAAAGATGTTGCAGTAGACCTGGGTTTGTTATAGTACGTCTATTATAAACTGGGTTTTCAGGTGCAGAGTAAGGTCTTATGTTGTCTTTGTTGTAACTTGTAGAAAATTCCAAAGGTATATTAATGCTGGATGCTTAGTAGAAAGCTTTTCCAGGCACACTGATATCTAGGTAGTTACAATGCTTTGCCACTCTTAAAAACAGGAGTGACATCTTCTTGTTCACATATCCATATACACAGTTCTTGCTGTCAGCAGTTTAAGTGTTTTTGCAGTTACTTTTGTTTTAGATAAAGGGACTGTCCTGGGGCAGGGAGGGAACAAAAGCAAACCCTGTTAGGGTGATTCTTGCTGATGTGCGAGGATTGATAGGGAAAGAAGTGATCTTGGTTTATTTGATAAAGTGAACATCTGGTCACCTGTCTTGTGCATCCGCAGTACAGCATCACCTATGGAATTCATTAGTCAGGAAAGGCTGTAGGAACATTTTATATTTCACTATTTTTATATTTCACTTTAATTAAATTATAGTGTATAAGGCACCAAGCTTACTGTTTTTAAACTCTTGAAATCTCACGTATTTAAAAATCTGGGGGTTTTTATTGATGGTTAAAGCCCTGGCAGCTACAGCTGAGTTTGTATCTGATATTGGGAACTTGAACACAGCTCACAGCATTCATGCATATTTTGCATGTCCTTTCAAAATATGGATGAGAACATTCTGACCTTTCAGAAATACATCTTTTATTAAGCAATGGCTTTTGTAAAAGTGTATTAAGAGTGTATCTTAACATGACTGTGACTGCATTTTATCTTTGAATTAGTAACTTTGTTGACCTACATAACCAGATCAGTTATAGCAGTTGGTTTTTACTGGAGGTGGCTGTGTTGCAGTAACATTTAGCTGACAGCAGTTGCTGCCTTCTTTTTCTAAGATGTACAATCTTTCATTTCAGTTGTTTATATTTCCTCTAATGGTGAGGACATTATTTTGAGAAGATAGAGATGATAGTGCCCTCCTCCATAACTGATGTATTATAGAGGCTTGGATGTCAAGCAGTTGAATGAATAAGGAAAAATTGAGGAGGGAGTGATGCTGGGATGGGGAGCAGGATGATTTAGTTCATATGTAAACAGTGGGGGATGGTACAGGGAGATGGATTTGCCATAGATAGATGTTGTATAAAAAGTTCCTCACAGTGCAACCTCCTTAAGTGAGTTGTCAGGCAAAGGTTTGGGTTGGTGAAAGAAACATTTTGTTTTCTTGTTTTCCTTCTGCCCCATTAGGGTTCTCTGCTAGGCCTGACCTGGGCCCACCAAATAAAAACACCGATCTGTACTTAACCTTGATGGAAGTTCACTAGTTAAAAGACTTCAGCTGTAGATACATTTTGTGTTTCTTACAAGAGTACCTCTAAGCTTTGGAAGCAGCTACACTGACAAAATTTAGGAGACTACAACTTTGAGTAATTATCGTATTCTTACATGGTACATGTATCCCATACAATATTACTCAATGTGCATGTTTATAAATCTCTTTTTGACTTGACTAAAATGCAAACAGCCAAACCACTACAGTTCTGGTGATAAAATGGGATTATTTGGTTGTTTTGTATAGTTTGTTATTTGGAAAATGAATTGCTCTAAATTAGAATGATGTCTTCCTTACTAAGTGTGTGCCAAGTGAAATCTGAGAAGGCTGGTTCGTGGCTTTACTAGCAAGAGGCCAGTATGGGCTATTTGCTTCTGTCATTTTTTTTTCCCAATACAGTTTAGTCCTAATATTTGACTGCTGTTAGGTAAAATGTTTACTTTTGTCTCTGCTGGGTGCAGAGTGGAGAAGTCTGCTGCAGTGTCCTTTCCCCTGAAACTGGCAGATATGCTCAGTTTAGAAGCTATAAAATCCCCTACTTCTCATTGGTTTCCTGAAGAACAGCATAAAACTGTCCTAATGGTTAATTTCACAATTCTCACTTGAAAGGTTCTTACTAGCAGCTGTGGCAAAGATCATGTTTCACTTTGCTCTTCAAAGCTTTATCGAAAAGTATTTGCAAAATGACACTACATCAAGAAGAATTATACATACCTCAAATGTCAAAAATGCCAGGGGGACTAAGAAACGTTTTTTAAAATAATTTTTGATGGCTGTGTAACTCAGAACTTCCCTAGCTGCGTTGGGAAGCAAAATTCCTAGTTAAGATCTTAAGTTCCAATAAAAAATTGCATTTTCTTGTCATTCTATAAAGCTACAACTTTTTATTCCCAAGTTCAATGCTGTTATGTTTGTCTTGGAGTTCAGCAAAGCCAAAACATTCCTGATTGCCAAATCATAATGCTTCTATCTTAAACCCATGATTTACCTCTTTTTAATGTAGCTAACTGATTTAAGCCTGGGACAGAGCAATGAAATGTCTAGACTGAATGTGCTTGTGAGCACCACGTTTGTCAAATTGGCCTGCTTGCATCCGTCATGCAAAGGCAGATTCTTTGCCTAGGTGGGTGTGTGCCTGGTGATGCTTGATTCAGGCTGGGATTTCCTTGGGTGTCTTTATGGCCTTGGAATGACTCAGTGTACTGCAGCACAGCTCACCTGTGCTGGGTGGGCTCTGTGCAGCACAGCTCACCTGTGCTCAGAAGGCTCTGCAGCATTGCTCTTAGCTCACCAGCTAACAGGAGGTGCCTCCAGCTGCACATGCTCTGTGCATTTTGTCTGTACCAGCTGGAGCCAGGCAGTAGGTCCTGTCCTGAAGAGCTCTTCTGTTTGTAGCTATCATGTGCTGGATTCTGTTGGAAGAGGTGACACAGACACTTCAGTGGTCTCTCCCTAGGAATACAGTACTCTTCAGTCTCAGAGGTGAATGGCGGTGTGGCACAACAGAGGTATTTTATAGGTGTCCTATAGGTGGCCTGACTTTTCTGTTAGAAGATAATTGCTTAATGAATTGAATTGGTTTAGGCATCAGGAAGCAAACCTTGAAGGTTCCAGAGGACTTTTTTTCAGGATTAAAATTAAGGAGACTTGGCTGTATCCAGAGGTCGGATACTGTTCATTACAGTGCTTGATGATACAATTACTGTGGTCTGACTTTGAGATGGCTTCGCAAAGTTTAGTAAGGGTAGTGCTGTACTTGAAATAAGATTGTTTCACTTCAAGAGTAGACTTTCCAAGCCAATGATGGTTCCTAGAATTGCCTTCCAGGAGTGGGTAAGCCTCCCTGTACTGCTGTAGCACCTCTGCAAAGCACAGACAAACCCTTCTTTTTGGGCTGGATGTAGTGGGCTGCCTTTGGGAGTCTGTAAGCAAGAACCTGTTTCCAGAACTTTATAATGCAGTTAGTAACTCATACTATGTATGTTATTCTGAAATACTGTACCTTTCTACAGGGCAGAATATAAGTACTCTTCTCAGAGAATTCTCAAGTAATTTTGCCATTCTAAAATGGAGTCATCACTATATCTGCATGAAAGCACAGAAAGGAAATTGGGAGTGGTTTGCAATGGTATTTCATATTGTCTTGTGAATAGATACATAATATCAATGCAAACACTATGGAAATTCAGGTGGTTACCTTCTGATTGTTGCTGTTTTATAAAATGCGTGGATCTTTAATATATCAGTTGCTTTATTTTCTGTCAAAGATTAGAAGACCAGTATGTAGAATGCAAGCATTTAGTAGTCAAAATAAGCTTTAAAAGAGCCCTATTTTTCTAATTGTGATGAAAAGTAAAGAATAACCAAAAGTGAAGAAGAATGCAATAAAATTTGGAAATCTGATTGCACTTGTTTTCCTGATAGTGGGATTGAATATTAGATTTTCTTCTTGTCACTTACTCTGCATTTTACAGGCATAGAGGTTGTCCCTGCTTGGTAGAA